GTGGCCGGAGCAGGTGCAGTAATCTTTGCAGTAGTCAGTGCCAAATAGTTGCGCTGTGGATGCAATCGTGTTTTCTTTCCTACGCAATAGTTTTCGCCCCTTGCAACAGTTCGTACCCCCAGCAATAGCTCCCGCAGTTGCGCGAACTGTTGCTCCCACCGCCCGGGGGGCCTGGCTAGATCATAGCCAGGATTCCGAGTACGGGGAGCTGGTTAGTGATTGGGCTCCGAAGCCTAACAGTTTGCCAGAATCACTAAACCAAGTCTTCCATAGCTGGTTTTTCTTCGGATGACGGCCGTTCGGGTTAGTGCCCTGGGTCGGGGAGACCCACCCGCGACGCACCCGCGACCCAACCGCGACCCACCCGCGACCCACCTCGCGATCCCCCCGCGACCCACGCGCGACCCACCCGCGACCCACCCAGCGACCGACCCGCGACCCACCCGCGACCCACCCAGCGACCCACCCGCGACCCACTCCGCGCCCGCCCCCTCACTCTCATTTGCAACCGCGGGGTGCTAGATATGCTGCACAGTCCACGTTGTGGGGACGGCGACGGGGCGGCGACGGCGGCAACGCAGCCGCAAGAGCGGCAGACGGGCCCAGACGACGGGCGACGACGAAGGCGGCGGGGCGGCGAAGGCGGCTGCATGCGCAAGCGCTTTTCTCGGGCTTCAGAAGTGAAGAGCGCCCGGGCTGGAAGCAACATGACATTGGCGGTCGGGGCCCCCGTCCTTCCCCTGACGCCCCCCGCCCCCCGCCTGGGACGCAGCTCCTGGAAGGTTCTCCACTCTCGGCATCGGCGCTGGTGCAGTCAGCCCGCACAGTAAGGACGAGTGACTCCTCAGGTCTACCCTCGCGTCCTTGCCTCTCCGCCCATCCTTGGCCGCTTTCGCTGGCCGCCCCCCGCCGACAGAGTGTCGACATGGCCTTCCAAGGCCCCTGCATCCTCATCGTGCGCCCGTGTTCTACGGGTTGACTGTAGACTCCTGTGTCGTGTCCCCAGTCTTGCCTCCCCCATGGCCCAGTTGCTGCTCGATAGCTGTGTTGGTGAGACGTCGAGCCACGTCCCGAACAAGCACTGGCCGTCGGCTGGCCAGTCTACCTATGCCTCCCAGGTGGGGTCGGAGTAGAGGGGGTCGGAGGATGGCACCGCATCGCCGACACATCGGTGATGCGGCTCGATGTGGAGCCCGATTTTCTCCACACCGACGGTGCCGATGCATCGCCTACGTCGCTGGTGCATCGCCAACGCGTAGTCGATGCATCGCGGACGCATCGGCGATGCGCCGCGATTCTCGAACGCAACCTGTTCCAACCTCATCTAGGAGGCTTCTGTACAGTCGAGCTTGATTAGCAGGTCGACCATGCCAAATCGAGGGTACCCGCTGTGTCCTCTCTGCCCCGACCTGTGCAACCCGCAGCTCCTCGGGCGTTCTGGGGCCACGCTGCCGCCGGGAGAGTCTCGTGCCTTCTCGCGCGTCCGCTCCAGTCAAGTCCGACTGTTCTCCGGGATAGTCCGGGATAGTCCCGTCCAATTCGGGATAGTCGTGGGAATCCCGTTCAATTCGGGATATTTCGTTGTCATCCGGGATGATCCCGTTGAAATTCGGGATCGTCCCGTTTAGTTCGGGGTAGTCAGAACAACCCTGGGATGCTCCGAAAACCGGGCGACTCTGGGATATCCCCGTTGAGTTCGGCTCAGTCCGCTTCGTTCCGTCGACCATCGACCCTCGGCCTTGCCCTGTCCGGTGCGGCTTTGTGGCCTTCCTGGATCGGGGGCACCCGGTGTTGCCTGTACCGTCGGGCCGATGCATAAGATCGAGGGCGGTTCGGGGAGGGTGCCCTGGGGTCCGTCGTGCTTGTGGGATGGTTTTTCGCAGCCTGGGGGAGGGCTCCGGGAGGATACCCTCGAATGTTCTTCAGTTTGGCCAGCGGAGGGTCTCGTGTTCGGGAAGGAGGTTCTTCTGTCCTAGGTCTGGCCGTACTCCAGATCGCATAATCGGGGGGGGGGGGCGACTAGCCTTCGACGGAGCGTCCCCATCCCCACCCCCGCCCCTCAGTGCGCGTCCAAAATTCCTGCCCCCACCCACCTGGCCCAGGAACTTGAGCTTCAAGACTGCCATACCCTTGGATGTTCTGTTTGTTTTGGTCGACGGAGGGTCTCATGTTCTTGAGGGATGTTCTTCTGGCCTAGATCCGACTGTCATCTCTCTTGCGAAGACCTCCCAGGGGTAGCCTCCTGACCCAGGCCCCGGACGTCATGATTCGTTCACAGCGTGTGCCCCTGGAGATCTGGAGCTGCTCTCTGTGACGTGCTTTTCACCCCGGGCAGTTTTTTCTGGTCCCTGGGCCCTGCGAGGGCTCCAGAGGCCCAAAACCTTAGAATGATCGTCGCGATTTTCTCATGCTGCGAGGCGGTCGCGGCCCCGCCACCTCCGCTGTAGGAGGCACATCCTGGAGACCCCGCGCGGCGCGCACAAGCTGCGTTATGTAGTCCACACGTCCGCCCTGTCAGGTATCGGACGCCGTTCGCGCGACGACGTTCCGACGCAAGGCGGACTTCCATCCGACGTGTAGCCGACGTGGAAGCAGCGTAAGTTGTGTCTCGAGTTGCCGCGCGAGGCCTGTAGATTTTTGCTCATATCGGCGGCGAGTCCGGGGGGGAAGCGAGAGGGAGCGGGCCTTCTCGGAGGGCTCGCGAGGCCTCGGGCCTTCCGAGACGTCTCTCGAGACTCTTTCGAAGACGGGGGCGGCCTCTCTGAAAGGCCAGGAGGGGCTCCTGAGAAGCCCCGCCCTCTGCTGAGGAGGCCTGCCCCCTCTCACTTCCCCCTCGGCGCGCGGCCGAATGTTTGATTTTCGTGTCATAACTCGGGTCTCCAGCGGCCCGCTCGGGACGATCTGGGCACCCCCGGAACGCTCTCGGCGGGGCGCATCTGTTGGAATGTATCTCGAGGCTCGGAAACCGCCGAGAACCGACGAACATGTCAGACAACCGCCGAGCTCGAACCCCAAACTCCCAAGCTTCCCCCGGGCTCGCCGCCACATATCGGTGTCACCCCAACATACTCAATACTATGTGTGCGTCGCTCCCACCAGGGGCGACGCGCGCACCGAGAAATCTTATAGCACATGCGTAGTGGCGGGCGCTCTCTGGCCACACCGTTCTGGAAACGATCTACTACAAGATGGGTACACTATCTGTTCGGGTCGGACGCGAGCCTCCGAGGATGACATACAGTACTAGTATGTCTCCGTGCGACCCACGACTGGAGTGGGGGCGCCACGGCTGGAGTGGGGGCGCCACGGCTGGAGTGGGCGAAATTCGTGGGACCACATGCGCACCAGGCATGCGGGGAAGGAGACACACTGCAAGATCCTGTTCAGGATCCCCACGCTTGGAGACAGACAGAGATCTGTGCAGGTAGTGTACGAGCGTGCGTTTGCCGACGCGCCATGGGCGTAGGGCTTCTGTCCGTGCGTCCCAACAAACTTCCCCAGGAGGAAGCGGCCGAGGCCCCCGGCGTGCACAGCGGGGGCACCGCCGCCCGGGCCGTGCCGCCGCCGCGCGGGGCCCGCGCGCCTCCCTGGCCGTCCAGCTCGCTGGCGCCGCGGGCTCCTGTGGCCCTTTCGGATTCGGGCTAATGGGCTCTTCTGCGGAGGAGGACGATGAGGAGGAGGAGGAGGAGGAGGAGGAGGAGGAGGAGGGAAAGGAAAAGGAAAAGGAGGAGGAGGAGGCGGAGGAGGAGGAGGAGGAGGAGGGAGAGGAGGAGGAGGGAGGAGCAGGAGGAGGAAGGCGGAGGAGGAGGCGGAGGAGGAGGAGGAGGATGAGGAGGAGTGAGGAGGAGCAGGAGAGAGGAGGCGGAGGAGGAGGAGAGAGGAGGAAGGAGGGAGAGGATGAGATGAAAAGGAGAGGGAGGAGGAGGTGGAGGAGGAGGAGGAAGAGGAGGAGGAGAGGAGGAGGAGGCGGAGGAAAACGAGGATGGAGGAGGGCGAGGTTGAGGAGGAGGAGGAGGAGGATAATGAAAAGGACGAATTGGTTGAGAAGACGGAGGATGAGGATGATAATGAGGATGAGGAAGAGGAGGACGAGGAGAAGGAGGAGGAGGGGGAGGATGAGGAGGAAGAGGTTGAGGAGGAGGAAAAGGAGGAGGAGGAGGAGACATATGAACAAGAGGCGGAGGAGAAGGAGGAGGAGGAGGAAGAAAAGGAACATGACAGGGAGGATATGGAGGAGGAGGAAGAGGAGGAGGAGGCGGAGGAGGTGGAGGTGGAGGTGGAGGTGGATGAGGAGGAGGAGGAGGAGGATAATCATGAAAAGGACGAATAGGTTGAGAAGGATGCGGATGAGGAGGAGACGAGGTTGAGGAGGAGGAGGAGGAGGAGGAAGAGGAGGACAAGGTTGAGGATGCGAAGAAGGTGGAGAAGGATGAGCATGAGGAAGAGGCTGAGGAGGAGGAGGAGGAGCAGGAGGAGGAGGAGAAGGACGAGGAGGACGAGGAGGAGGACGAGGAGGAGGAGGACGAGGAGGAGGAG